CAGGCGGGAATCAAACTCATGAGGAAGCGGCTTTAGATTCTCAGTGTTGTGCTTTAATCCGCTGTGCCACCAGGGAGGGCCACTATCAACATATTTTAAGGTCATCGAGTTTAAGCAGTGTAAATCTGGGATCCCCGGATTTGGGTTAACCCTCAAGCCTGACCTGGTTAATCATCTTAATGGGGATATGAGATATAAATGAGAAATACCAGAGAAGGGCTTCCGATTGGAGAATTCTCAACTGTTGTTTATTAGCTAATGCTACTCATTGCTACGCTGTTAAGCTTTATTTTTGGTTAAAGGAGGCAGGACCCCTTCTCTGCAATGCATTGTATCACCATCTTACTCTGAAAGAATCCTCCTTATTTATTGTTTTTTTGATCTCTTTTCTATTAGGGAAGCAAAGTAGGCTTAGTTGAGAGAAAAAAAAAAAAGACCTCCTCAAATCAATTTCATTCTGGTAATGTATCAAATTTCAAAAAATGTTAATATTTTTTCTAATCCTTTAAATTTATATATAAACATTTATAATTTAATTATATCATTATCATTCAGTATTAATTGTTAGTGATACTCTTATTTTTAATATACTTTTCCTGACTGTATACACATTAGAATTAGGGAGATTTCCCCATGTGAAAGTAGATGGCCCAAGGAATGCCTTCCTCCTCACATGGATTTTGATAAAATATAGACAAGGGACAAATGGAAAATAGTAAGGCGTCACTATTCCCTGATTCCCCAATGTGGGATTCTCTGAAAAACAGATTAGTTCTTGTGGTTTAGGTTTAAAGCCAAAGAGCAGCTTTCAGCTAAGCCCAAGGGCAGATCTTGGAGTAGTACACCTTGGCATCCCATGTACGGCATCATATGAGTGATGGCTGGCGTGTATTGGCAGAAGAAAAGTGGCCAAACTGGCTCTAGAGAATTAAATCCTGAGTTTAGTACCTATCTTGTCACATGGAGAAAATTAAGAAGAAAACACATGCGTGCCTAACTTCTGTTAAATCAGTGATCCTGCCTACTGGCGAGCACTGTGTTTGCTGCCTGCCTTCTAACCAGCCAGGTTAGCAAATTTGCCTCCCATGGTGGGCAGTAGCTTGGAAAAAGGTGAGATTAATTAAAAATTAAATATTGCCTTACCCTCATACACTTGTAACATTTTTTTAAAAATCGTTCATTTAGGACAAAATATCAGCCACCATATCAGAATCTATCTGTATTCTCTAAAGAGCTTAGTACAATGGGCAGTTGTTAGGCAGTTGAACTCTTGTCTCTAAATGTGAGCATAGCTAAAGGAGAGGTACTCTGACTAGCTTGCTGTGTGGAATTTGAGAACACTGCTTAAGAGACAGAGACTGTTGTCCTGTCTTGAGCTTCTTAATTGTTGTTTAAGGTGAAGGCATTTACTAGGACATGACTAAAAAGTATTTGCTCAGTACTGTTCGGAAAGTCCCAACTGCTGCTGTTTAATGTTCATAGAGAAGTTGAAGCAGAGTGCTAACCAGGTTATTTTGGGTGTTCTTTTATGGAAAAAAAAAAAAATCAGTAGTTAAAAGTACTGTTTCCCTATTATCCAGTACGAGTTTTTACAGGGAGATTCCTCTCAGTGGGACTACACTTGCAGTGACAATGTCTTATCTCAAAACTTTTTTAACAGTTGACTCTTCATTTTCACAGGAAGCAAAGAGATGGTTCGAGTGATGCGGAAAAAGGGCATTGAGCATCATCCCAATTTTCGTGCAGTTAAGCATGTCCCATTTGACCAGTTTATACAGTTGGTTGCCCATGCTGGTTGTATGATTGGGAACAGCAGCTGTGGGGTACGTGAGGTTGGTGCTTTTGGAACACCTGTGATCAACCTAGGAACACGTCAGATTGGAAGAGAAACAGGTATTACTTTTGCATGTTTCAATTGACCATACTTGATAAACATGAATTATTAGATGGTGTGTATGTATGCACTGCCTGGTATATATTTTTATAAACCAGTGAGTTAGTTAATGATGAATGTAACCTAAAGTCTGTAATTCACACATGGTGATAAACAAAAAAACTGTAGGGCTCTACTTATATTTTTATTGTCTTTGTAATATCAGAGCTATGATTTTATTCTAATTATTATAAAATTTAATTATGGCCTTTGATGGCTGTGTTTAGGAGAGAATGTGGCTGAACATGTAATAAGTATATAAATGCTAGTCTTTCATTTACTAGACCCAGTAAAGAGTCTCTTTATTCAGTACTTCAGGGCATAGCAATTCTAAACAAGAATCTCCCTTAAGAAACTTAAACATACGTAGTATTATTAATAATTAATTTGCTGACAGAGCTAGATCATGTTATTAGCTTAGTCCAAGTCTAATACAGTAACATACAGATATATATCTGTAGATAATAGAAAGTACAGGTAGTTAATGAAAAAAAAATAGTAAGTCCAGGATCCAGGATATCAGTTCCAGCTGTGCTCTTTCTCAGCTCTTCTAATTGCCACCATACTTTTATGTTATCTTTAGATCTCCTATTCTTTCATTCACAAAGTATTACTTCGCTCCCTTTTTCACAGAGAAAATAGAAGTCATTGAATGAAATCTTTCAAGTTTATTAATTTGTTTTCTTCAAAATCCTTAATACGTACCCACTATGTGCTAGCTTAGGATTTGATAGTAAACTAGAGTAACAAGGGCTGAGCTTTAATGTACCTTTCTCTACTCTAGTGGGAGAGTTGACAGATAACAGAAAAGAAAAAGCTCAGGATATCTATATGTTGTGTCAACACAAGGCAGTGTGATGGACGGTTTCTTTTAAGAGATAGAGCACTTAGCCTGACATCTGAATGACAAGGAGTTAGCTACATGAGGCTCAGAGAAGAGCAGTGGAACAGCCAAAGTGGAGCCCTAAAGATAGGAACAAACTCGATCTGCTTGAGAAACAAAAGGACTAATGTAGGTCTAGAGTAATGGCATGAGGAAATGTGATAAAAGATGATGTTAGAGAAGGAGGTAGACCTTCATAAAAATATAGAACAGTGTAAGTCTTTTCTGAGCAATAGTTCAATGAGATTATTTAAGAGATAATATGACACACTGATGACACACTGACATGCACTGGAAAGGTCACTCTGGCTGCTACATGGAGCATGGAGTGTGGTAGGGCAAGGGTGGAAGCAGGGACCAGATAAGAGTTTTTTTTTTTTTTTTCAGTTCATATGAGATGTAGTGGCTTAAACCATGTAGTAGCATTAAGAGATAATTAAAGTTAGAATTGAGGTTTTTCTAATACTTGGCTGATGCTTAGATGTGAGTAGTGAAAGGAAGTCAACAGTAACTTACATCTTTGGATTGAGCAGTGGGAGTACACTTTGCCTACAGGAAAGATGCTGAAGGAGAAGCAGATTTAGAAGGGACTGGAATTAAGAGCTCTTTAATAGTCATGGTAAGTTTGAGATGCCTAATAGCTGTCAAAGTGGAGATGGCAGGTATGCAGCTAGATAAGTTCCAGGGAGAGTTCAAGTTGGAGAGAGGAATTTGAGAGTCATTTGGCATACAGATGGTGTTTAGTTAAGGTATCAGTCTGGCTGCTGCAACAAGCCCAAAATAATAGTACCTTACATACATTAGGTTATCTTGACACCTCCATTAGCTACCTTTTATCTTCTTAATGGTTTTTTCAGCTATTGCTGTCAGGCCCATATATTTTTTTTTAAAGATTTATTTATTTATGCATACAGAACTGGGGCACAGGCCAGAGGTGCAGGGGCAGTGAGAGGATTCAACAGAGATAGAGTGGGGAGTAGAACAGGCAGATCAACAAGTACACTGCTGAGGGGAGCAGCGGGTGGGTCAGGAGAGGTCTACTGTGCCATCTGGATCTCCTCCGGGGCAGGGATTGAACTCACACTGAGGTGTCTGCAGTTGACCTGCAGTGCTGCGCTATAACCCGCTGCACCACCATGGAGGGCCCAGGCCCATATGTTAACTACTTTGAAGGAAGAAGGGGAAAGATGTCCTTCCCTTGAAAAGCATAGTAAGTGAAATGTGTGGTAAAATTAAACCAATATTAAACAAGCATTAACCATTAAAATTCATTATAGTTAGGCAAGATTGTTCAGCATATAAAATGGAGTTCATTGAATTCAATAAAAAATAAATAAAAGTCTAACTGGGAAGTTCAAATAGTCTCATATCCTATAGAACTTAATCACTGGGTTAGGCCTAGCTACAAAAGAAACTGAAAAATATAGTTGTTAGCTGAGTGATCAGATGCCCAGGTAAAAATTCTGTTACTAGTAGAGAAAGGATACTGAGGATAATGGTACTCTCTGCAATAGATGCAATAGTGTGTTTTTTTTTAAGGAACTAAATGGCATTTCCCAGAGAGAACATGTAAATAAGGGAGAATGGAACCTACGACCAGTTTCTGGAGCCCTTTGATATTTACAGTTCTGGTGAGGGAAGGGTTGTCAAGGACTAAAAAGGTACTGCCAGTGAGATAGGAAGAAGACCAGGAGTATGATTTAAAACCCAGAAAAGTGTTTCAGGGAAATGGTAAGTTGCTGAGTTCAAATACGATGTGAATGAACAGTGTTTGGCAACATGATCTTTGTCAAAGGCAGTTTCTGTACTTTCTGCCATACACTTATAAACGCATTCCTGTCCATTCTTCCCTTTACATTGGAGGTGTGCCTGTCTCCTGTTCAGCTTTCTACTTAACACAAGTTTCCCAGTCCTCCTGTCTTTTCAGAGATCTATCAGCCATCCTTTCTTTTCCATTATCTTTAGCCTCCTTGACATTTAAACATGTCTGTCTCACACATCTGAAAAACAAAAAATAACCCCTCCATTGGTTCCTTAGCTCCCTCTAGCTATCACCCTTCAATATTTCTCCTCTTAGCCAGTTCAGCTGAACAACCCAACCATTTGCACTGTATTTGCTGCTCCCTCATACTGGTCAGAAACTGTACGGAGAGAAAGTGACTGCCTAAACAGCTGCCTGGCTAGCTGACCAGCTTGGCCTGCTGAATGGATAGAAGGCCAGGCAGGTTGAAAAAGTACACATGCTAGACCACTACATAAATGGTAACTGGATACTAGAGTAATCTTATGTATTTCAGTGCACAACACTTGATTTACAGTACTAGTGGATACGGAAACTTTGTTGAAAGGTATAAAATAGAAAAAAATGGTCTCTCTAAAAGAAATAGTATTTGAAGTTCTTGAGGTTTCAGGGCTAACTATGAGCAAAACATACTGCAAATGTCTTTATTGTTTGCACAGTCCTACTTACAAACCATTGTAATGTTACTGGATTTACCTAGGGGAGAATGTTCTTCATGTCCGGGACGCTGACACTAAAGACAAAATATTGCAAGCGCTACAACTTCAGTTTGGTAAACAATATCCTTGGTGAGTGTATGCCCTATGTATTTTTAAAGCAATTTAAAAGGTAGATGGCCTCAGCTGCCATTTTCAAATTCTGATTAATGTTTAATCATCCTTTACATCTGCATCCCTAGGAGACCTAAGCTGCTAGTGACAGCTTGCTAATGCCATACCCTATTACCAAAGGATTCCAATGGAGAATAAATTGGTACTTATCTCATTTAATTAATGTAGTCTTTCTGCTAGGAGATACTTCCTTAGCCTACTTTGAACTTAAGTATTAGAAAGTGATGTAACTAATTTTCTATAAAAAGTCTAGTTCAGCATTTTAATTAGACTACCCTGTTTTCTATTTCAAATTAAATAGCTTTCCCTGAAGTTGAAATTTTTTTCTGAAAATAATCATTCTTCCCTCACGAATATAAAGATAAAAACTAAAAAAAAAATAATAAATAATAACTAAAAAAAGCAAAACAAGACAAAAATTTTCACCACCCCAAGTATGTTATTTCTGAAATTGGCTTAGTAACAACAACAAAAAAAATTCACGACACAGCATTTTGTTAATGGTAGCTCTGCTGGAAATAGCTGTGTATCTGTTGGAACTAGCCATTATTCAGGTGCTTAGCTACTATTTTGTTGAAGAGCTTCAGATGTTATTTTAAAAGGAAGAAGCACAAACCTTATTACCTGATGGTTCAGCTACATTAATAAAAAGTCCTCAAAGTCATTTAATATGTGTGGAAGGAACAATTAATTTAATAGACTTTTTGGATATTGCAGTTCAAAGATATATGGGGATGGAAATGCTGTTCCAAGAATTTTGAAATTTCTCAAATCTATTGATCTTCAAGAGCCATTACAAAAGAAATTCTGCTTTCCTCCTGTGAAGGATAATATTTCTCAAGATATTGACCACATTCTTGAAACTTTGAGTGCCTTGGCTGTTGATCTCGGCGGGACGAACCTCCGAGTTGCAATAGTCAGCATGAAGGTAAAATAACTCCTAAAAGTTTTAACTCTATATCCAGTATGAGTAACTTTTTTTTTTTTAAAGATTTATTTGTGCATACAGAACTGGGGTACAGGCCAGAGGGTCAGGGGCGGTGAGAGGTTTCACCGGAGACAAAGTGGGGAGCAGAACAGGCAGATGGACGAAGTACACTGCTGAGGGGAGCAGCGGGCGGGTCAGGAGAGGTCTGCCACGCCATATGGTCGCCTCTGGGGCAGGCGGGAATCGAACTCATGTGGAAGTGGTTTCACCTTAGTGCTGTGCTTTAACCCGCTGCGCCACATGGAGGGCCTGAGTAACTTATTTTTAAAAGTATAGTTGAAAGTTAAGTCTAGAAACATGCACAGGAGCTTGTGATCATTTATGGGCGGTATTGACTTTTGGATTCATTACTTTCACTATTTTGCTGTTAACATTTCAGAGAAGTAAAATGTGCAGAGTTCAAGACAATAGACTTGGGAGACCTCTTAGGCAATAGAGAGGATATCTGTGGCTCAGGAGACCTGAAACTCTGTACTTGAAAACAGCTAGAGAATTAGAGTATGTTCATTAGTCCATGACTAGGAGAAGAGTCTGCAAATGGTAAGGATAATTGCATCTCCTCTAGAAAATGATTTACATTGAATACAGCAAATCCTCAATCTCTAACCTAAAACGTCACCACAATTTGAGAGTTTAAAAGAGGCTTCATGATGAAAAAACTAAGTTATACATGTTAGAATGACCTCTGGTAACTTAAGGAAGAATAAACCTACCAGGAAACTCTTTTATTTGAAGTATTGTAAATTTTAGTATGAAGTTTCAACAGTCCCTGAGAATTAGCAAGGATTGTAAACACAACATTGTCTAGGTCAAATAAAGCAAAGCAAGTCAAAACATAATTTTCTCAAGAAGCCAAAACGCCTTTATAAATACTACTTAAAAATATCAATAGAAGAATGTTATCTTTACATAAAGATGAACTGTTCTATATCAGTTCACCATGTGTAAGTGGTGAGATCCTAAGGCTGTGTGATAAAAATCAAGAGGAAAAGAAGGATGTTTTTGGCAACATTGTTCAATCTAAGTTATAAGCGACTGATGAGGGATTAAAGCCAAGAACAAAACAGCAAAATGTGGACAGAGTAAAACAAAAAATATTTGCAGACAATATGAATAAACTAACAAACTTGTAAAATCAGTAAGAGAAGTGAATAAATGATTGGGAATTGTTGAAAACTTTCTAGTTGTACAAAATTGTCAACAAAGATTTCCATTTTTTCTAGGTAAGCATCAACCTTGACTGCACATTAGCATTACCTAGAAGCTTAAAAAAAAATTTACAGTTGTCTGGCTCCCACACCAGGCTTGTTAAATTTGAATCTCTGGCATTAGTATTTGTTCAGAGCTGACCAGGTAGTTCTGATGCACAGGGAAGTCCAGAAGCACAACTTGAGGTTTATTTGAATGACAGTCATGAGTGATACTTTAGCCCTTGCCAGTGGAGAAAACTTCACTAATTATAAAATAGTGAAAACAAGATTCTACTGAGAACTACAACAAAAACTTCTAAGAATAACCTAAACCAGAAAAACTATGTAATCTATATAAAGTAAGTTATAAAACTCTATTGTACAATATAAATATAGTCTTGGAAGATATATTAGATGGGAATACTGAGTGTTTATCAAATGTCAGCGTTGTATTTAAGATAATTCTAGTTAACATTTCAATGGGAGTTTAAGTTTTCCAACACACTGAAATTACTTAAAACAATGTCTGTCAGCTTGTTGTCATACCATTACTGGCTTCAGTTATATGCGCTGAGTAAAGCTTCACTAGGATATATATTTAGTTGCCTTTGTAGTTAAGCAACAACATCTGTCACATTTGGCTGTGGAGTTGTCATTTGCTTCAATAGCCATATCCCAGCTGTCTTCCCAGGGATCTACTAGGACTTATCCTATGGCTGGCCCAAGTCAGACTGTAGCTTCCTTTCTAAGCAGTTGTCTAAATCTGTGCTAGGGCAGTATCTAATTTATCATGAAAAAGGTCAAAAGATTCCCTGTATGCTCCTTAACTAACACCAGTGAGATGAATCTTGTTTATTCTCTTTTAGGGTGAAATAGTTAAGAAGTATACTCAGTTCAATCCTAAAACCTATGAAGAAAGGATTAATTTGATCCTACAGATGTGTGTAGAAGCTGCAGCAGAAGCTGTAAAACTGAACTGCAGAATTTTGGGTGTAGGTGAGATTACAAATTACATTATCTAACAAATGGCATTTTTAATGATTGCTGAGTTCCAGTGCATGACTGAACAGCAGGTCACCATTCTGTATAAAGATGACTCCAGTTCCTGTCTCTAGGCCCCAAGAATAGGTAGTTCCTGGGATACCACATGAGCATTATGTGAATACCATTCATGTTATTATAAATCTGTAGCAATCTACAGATTTAATTCAGAACTGCCTGACATTTCCTTGCAGTCCTTGGTGCAATGTTTCTTTAGGAGATCTTGGATGAACTGTGTTCTTAGCCCAGAAAGTTGGCACTTTTTTCTAATATTGCTCTTCAATTATTTTTCCCTGTGTTTATGGTGGAGCTCAGGCATTTCCACTGGTGGTCGTGTGAATCCTCGAGAAGGAATTGTGCTACATTCAACCAAGCTGATTCAAGAGTGGAACTCTGTGGACCTCAGAACTCCCCTCTCTGACACTTTGCATCTCCCTGTGTGGGTAGACAATGATGGCAATTGTGCTGCCCTGGCAGAAAGGAAATTTGGCCAAGGAAAGGGTCTGGAAAACTTTGTGACACTGATCACAGGCACAGGTAAGAGGAGTAAGACAAGCCTGCTCAGGAGCCTGAGGCGGAGCTACCCTGAGCACTTCAGGCCTGCATGTGCTCTGCCCTGGGCACATGTGTGGCCACCTAAATCCATGGGAGCGCGTCAGAATTACTCTCCAGCTTTCCCTCTCAGCCTTTTTGGCTAGTCTTGTCTATTGTTTGCCCCACTGACCAAGGCAGATACCTATAAATATTTTTGGCCTTTAAATGTTTTTGACAAATGCCCTGGGAGAGTTCTGAGGTAGGCGAGATAGGAGTTGAGTCCACTCAGATGACTAGGAGCCACCAAGTGGGTCAGAACAATAACAGTTCTTTGAGAGTAAGATTTGTCCAATTCCATGCAGTACTACAGCCTGACAGGGGAAGTGGGCTGTTCAAGGTCACTGGGGAGTGGGTGATAAGAACAGAAAATAAGAACAGAAGTTCTGTTAAGATTCAGCTGTTTTTTTCCTTGATGTAACAGTTCCCCTGGTTGTCATAAACTTTTGGTTTCCAAGGTTCACAAAAAGATGATGATATTTGACAATTTATTCATTGTTTCAGTGAAGGTATGGGCTTTCAGCATTCCTACTCTGCAGTTTTTGCCAATGTCTCAATTTGCTTTTCAAATAAGGGAAAAGACTCAACTAGTAAGTGCTCAAGCCAGCACTAGTTGCAGATATACCTAACTTCAAAATGTTCACGATTTGAACTGTGCATTATGCCACCTCACGTTTAAGGTCAGCACTGCGTCTTAATCTTCAGACAGTTTTAGCAAGCATGGATATAATTTTCTAGCTCATTTCTTAACTTGCTTAGCTCCAATGGGAGTTGAGAAATAAGTGCCATAAAAAGCATGACAACTCTAGAAAGGAGAGCTTTCTAAGGCAAAATGCCCTTTATTACTTGGTAACTTCTAAACTCCATGACAAGAGCCAGCCATTGATGTTCATATTGACAGAGTCATGGTTAAAAGCAGAATGAGCTAAGCAGATGTGATGCAGCATAAAAAGATTTCCATCTGAGATGATTCCAAGTAAAGTTGTGGTACTTAATTTTCCATTGTCTAGGAAAACAGGCATTATCTGAACTTTACATTCCAAAGCTTTGCTGAGCAGATGAGGCACTGTCATAGCACAGTTTTCTACACTGGGTGAAAAACCTTCTCGATGATTGCTGTCTCTCACTACAGGAATTGGCGGTGGGATCATCCATCAGCACGAACTGATCCATGGGAGTTCTTTCTGTGCAGCAGAACTTGGCCACCTTGTTGTGTCCCTGGATGGCCCTGACTGTTCCTGTGGAAGCCATGGCTGTATTGAAGCCTATGCCTCTGGAATGGCCTTGCAGAGAGAAGCAAAAAAGCTACATGATGGTTAGTTTCTTTTTCCTGAGGAATTGAATGGCCAAATAGTGGTCAAGTACAAGTACCAAAGACGGCTGAACACTGAAGTCAGGACTTTTAGCTCCCTAGAGGAAAAGTGGGCCTCCCTCACACTGAAGCACTGAACTGTCCCGAGAGTCAAGAGAGTAAATAGAATTGGCTTGAATGAGCAAGAGGGTGCTCTGAAGCCTGGGAACACTGGTGCTGGTGCGTTAAGGCCCTGGCAGGATGCAGCATGACAAGGGGGAAGTCAGAACCAGCAGTTAAATGGAGAAGCCATTGAAAAAGTTGGGAGAAAGTCATGATCAGACCTGAATCTTGGGTTTTTCACTAAGTTTTAACTTCATTTTCTGGGAGTAAATGGAGGATAACTTTTAGGTGGGACAACTCTAGGGTGATGCCAGTTTTCTAAGTGCACAGCTTAAGGTGGGGAATGTAAGACAAGGTGCAGGTTTTGATGGGAGATGATGATTGGGAGCCTGTGGGACCTTCCTACACAGGAAATGTGAAGTAGGTAGCTGCAACCAGGATCTGGTGCTCAAGAGAGATGTGAGGACTAGCAGCAGGGATTGGGCATCAAAAGCTTTGAGGTGGTAATGCTCCTAAAAATGAGGCAAGAGTTGAGGATGCATCGAATTCTGGGAAATATTAACATTGGAAGTTCAGGGATAAACAGGCAAGGGGATGGTCACAGAAGCCAAAAGGGGTAATGTTTTAAGGAGGAAAATATGAAATGCTACTTATCAGGAAGATAAAGTTAGGAAAATTCTTTAGCTTGGCCATGATTGCATCATTTGAACCCCTAAAAAACAATGCTTGTTTTTATCGCTGCCTTAGAAGATTGTTCAGACATTTTCTCAATTATCCCATCCTTTGAAACTTCAATGCCACAGATACATTATTAGTATACTGTCTATAAAAAGAACAAGATGGGTTTTTCTTACCCCCAACAAGCAACTACCTTGGGAGCAAATGCATGAAATTCAGACAGACACCTAAAACAGAAGACTTATATGATACTGAGTAAGAGAGAAGACATGCTTTAAGGACATGGAATTCGTGCACATGACCAGTGGTAAGGAGACAGTAGTACTGGAAGTGAAGCTTAAGAATAAAGGCAAGAATGTGTAGTCAGGTCCTAGTAAGGTCCCTGAAGAGGTGGGAAGAGCTGAGCCGAAAGCCCAGCAGGTAGAGGGCCCAAGCAAGGGAAAGAGGAAACAAAGGTGTGCAAATGTATAGTGTCTGTACATTCCTACCTGAGGTGGTTCTTTAAGATATCAGAAATTCCAAAACTGCTTGGGAGTGATAGTGGGAGTAGGGTTGTGAAGAGATGAGGGCATAGAAGAGCAATGAAGTAGAAGAATGGGGAAGAGTGGGCCAGGGCAGCTGTCAGGGCCCAGAAACACAGGACACTGGTTGGTGCCTAAGCAGCATTCTGTATGGCTGAAATTTTCCCCCACCTGCTATAATAGCAGATGAAGAGGGTTGGTGACTGGTAGAAAGACAAGAAATATAGACAGCAAGAAAAATACTACTGTTTAGTATGTACCTGAACCAGCACTAAATAGTACTTAGGGTATTGGTGCCCTCCCTGGTGGCGTAGCAGGTTGGTGCTGCACTGCGAAGCTAAGCCAAGCCATGGCCACTTCACTGCAAGTTCAGTCCCTGCCCCGGAGATGACCCACATGGCACAGCAGACCTCTCCTGTCTCGCCTGCTGCTCCCCCCAGCAGTGTACTTTGTCATTCTGCCTGTTCTGCTACCCACTTTGTCTCTGTACCTCAGTTCAGTAAGCATAAAATACTTAAAAAAAAAAAAGAGGTACTTCGGGTACTATTAACCCACGAAATAATCCTGCTACAGTAGCTTTTAGTGCCCCATTCTTGTAGAGGAGAGGAGACACCGAGGCAATGTATACTGGCAGGATTGGGCAGCTAGCTAGGGTTTGGCAGGGCCAGAGGCAGAGTTCAGGTAGTGTCTGACCCTTAGGCTGTCCCTTTCTGCCCAGGCTGTGGGGCATTAGTAACGCAACATCACACCTCAGACCGAAAGCACATGACTGACTGTTCGTGTGAAAGAAAAGTCAAGAGAGCTAGAAGATTAGAAGGCGCTGCTCAGAGTTGGAAATTTGATAGCATTGGTGGGAAGTTCTAGGTGACCTCTGGCCGCCAAGACCTTTAGGGACGCATGTGGGTATATGAATGTTAAAAAAAAAAAATTTACAGATGTGAAAACGAACAGTCACCCTTAGGGTCTTGCTGCCAGCCGGCACAATTTAAAGCTTGGCCTTCCCATAGGGTTGCCACAGCTCATGAATGACTGCTTCTCCTTCCTCTGATCAAACAGAAGACCTGCTCTTGGTGGAAGGGATGTCAGTGCCAAAAGATGAAGCGGTGGGTGCGCTCCATCTCATCCAAGCAGCAAAACTTGGCAACGTGAAGGCCCAGAGCATCTTGAGAACAGGTGTGTGGCTCCGGGATGGGCTCACAGATTCCCCGCTTCCCTCAGGACCAGTGCTCTGCAATGTCTGTTCAGAAGTATTTTTCTACTAATTGAGAGAGAAAGGCAGTTGCATTCAAGGTGTTCAGCAGCACTGCCTTTGAGAAGGTTTCTCAACTATTAAAAAGCTCTTTGTTCGTTTTATAGAAAATTTAGGTAACTATAGGAAAAAGAAAGTATCACTTTGAGTTTTGCCTTTTGGAGATCTATCACTTACTAACATTTTCTTCCAGTCCGTTTTTTACATGGTTGAGACCATATAGTATACAAATTTGCCACCGAGTTTTTCATTTCAAAGGATTTCATATCACAGGATTCTTTTTGCTCATATTAAGTCACCAACATCTGTGTGAGTGGACGTAACTGTTGCCAATGGTGGGCTCTTTTCCCCCTTTGGCATTTTGCTTTTGATGCTCTCCCTAAAACTTATGTCTTGTGTTCCTGTAGCTGGAACAGCCTTGGGTCTCGGGGTTGTGAACATCCTCCATACCATGAATCCTTCCCTTGTCATCCTCTCTGGAGTCCTGGCCGGTCACTATATTCACATCGTCAAGGATGTCATCCGCCAGCAAGCCCTCCCCTCTGTTCAGGATGTAGACGTAGTGGCCTCGGATTTGGTTGATCCCGCCCTGCTCGGTGCTGCCAGTATGGTTCTGGACTACACAACCCGCAGGATCTACTAGGCCTCCCTAGAGTGGACATGGACCAAGACTTGAGCACGCCTTCATGGATTCAGGTTCTTTTAGACGAGTTTTTCTTAAAAAGCAAATTTGGTATTTGGCAGGCAATTTTGGCAGGGAAATTTTTGCTTTTTGTTGCCTCTTCCAAAATCGCCTTTCTCAAGCCCCATTTTTTGTAGATGCTGCTCGTTCTGGGGTTATTTCAGCCCATACTACCTAAGTACCAGTTTTCTGTGCCAAAAATAGCTACAGCAACAGACCAGGAAGCCTTAGAGCACTGCTGACTAGATGTACCTTCCTCAGCATATAAGGTTGACCTGGAGTGTGGGTTAATATTCCATCCTTCTCTGACCCTAAATAGACTGCAGAAAGGGATCCAGTCAGGGAGCAGGAATCTCACCATGAAAGGCTCAAGTTTTTTTTTAAAACAACTTTATTGAGATGTTTTAACAGCATACAATTTGATAACCTTTGACATATGTATATACCTGTGAAACCATTAGCACAATCAAGAAACTGGACATCAGTAACCCCCAAATGTTATTTGTTGAAATGTTATTTTATTACTATTATTAGCAGAACCTGTGAATAAAGTTAGAATTGGGATCAGAATTACTGTGGCTTTAATGATCTTGTCCTTATCACTTATGGACAGCAAAAGGCTACTAGGACTTAGTCTCTGAAAGGTGATCACTTGTCTCAAAAGGATCTTTGCTGCTGAAAAGCAAGTATCTCTCCCTTCAACAGCATTTCTTACTATGTGGCATTATGACTCTGAAGTATCAACTAAAGCAGTGTGTGTTCATGTGACTGGATCCTGGCTAAATAAGTGTGCTTTTACATATATCAAGGTAGTGTCTGGGCCTTCCCAGTGGCCTAGGAGTTAAAACTCAATGCTATCACCTATCACCACTGCAGCCTGCGTTCAGTTTGATCCCAAGTCAGAGAGGTGACCCACATATGGCGCAGCAGACCTCTCCTGTCTAGTCTCTGGTGAATCCTCTCATCCCCTGTACCTCTGGCCTACACCTCAATTTTTCTACACAAAAGAAAAAAAAAATTAGATAAAATTAAGATAGTGTTCTTGCTAGCAGTTGCAACCTGAAAGGAATACTACTGTTACTATTTAAGTGCCTACTCTATGCCACACTCCGAACTGGGTGCTTCATATGCATTCTAAATTCTCACCAACTGTGAGGTAGGTGTTTTAATTCTCATTTCATAGAAGTCTAAGGTAAGAGTTAATGTGCCTACATCTTTGTGGCTAGTGAGTTTTTGAGACAGAGATAGGGTTTGATCCCAGTTTGCTCTGTGTTATGTTTTGCTAAGCCACACCGTCTCTCAAAAACTTTCAAAAAGCTTGAGTATGTTAGTTTGCTCTAAGCTACCAGAAGCTTTAGTAAGAATTTAATCAAATAGTCCTCTATGCGGTGAAGATTTTGCCAATATAATTTTTGGTCTAGTGGCAGGTTTTCTGAGTACTCTCAGATGATCTAAAAAGCATGTGTATGTTTTTCAGATGTTATTTTAGGAAAATCTGAAGGTTTCTGTAACACATTTCAGTGTTAGCATATAAAACTACATGAAGGAATCAAGTAAACTTAACTCCCTGCCGGGTTAATGTGAAGAAGGTAGATTGGTTGATTCCTAGAACCCTGAAATTATCTCCAGGTCCTGGTCATCTATCGCAACACTCCATGGCAATCTCCGGGAAGGAAGTTGGTTTCTTGGTCACCATTGTCTGGGGCAAACGGTGTGCTATAAAGGGGCATCAAGTTGCTTGGTGGGACCTGTAACCTCTCTGCAGGTCAGAAGGCTGCACTGCTGCCAAGTTTTACACTAAGTATGTGGAAGGAGGATACTGAGTCTAAAACCAATTCTGTTTTTATTAAATTCCTGAAAAGCCTAATATATTCCAATATAATTATTACATAACCTTAATTTATTCTAATGTAAATATCTTTATATTACTGTTCTGAGTCAAATTATGGAGAGAAAAAAATAAAAACATTCCTTGTGAAAATCTTGAGGGTTTCTTTGTATTTTGTTTTGTTCTAACTAAAAAAGCATTCCCCTTCCTAAAAGAGATCTGTATGGATGCATTACTTATGAAGGTCCTAGTATTTCTTTAATATATCTAGTGCTACTTTCTCAACCAAAACAATCTGATGAATAAAGCCATTATGTAACTTCTAAAATTTGACATAAATAGCACAGTGGCCCTAAAAAAGAAGTCTGAAACTAAATGGTGAACACTCTCTGAGCTCATGGCCAAATCCCTCCTCTTTATTTAGTCCATATGGGTAATGGAGACATGGAGAAACAATTCCCAAGATAGCAAAGCTCCACAAAACTCAAGAGGCTCCCAACTCTATAATTTTTTTTTTAAAAGATTTATTTATACATACAGAACTGGGGTACAGGTCAGAGGCACGGGAGTGAGAAGATTCACCAGAGACAGAATGGGAAGCAGAATAGGCTGAATGACTGAAATACACTGCTGGAGAAAGTAGCAGGTGGGTCAGGAGAACATGTGGGTCACCCACCCTGGCCGGGGATCCAGCTCTTTGCTGCAGTGGCTGTGGTAGCCTCATAGTGCTGTGCTTTAACCTGTTACACCACCAGGGAGGGCCCCTCAACTCTTTCTTGTGGTTTCTGTGGGCCACGAGTTTGGGAAAGCTCACTTCACAGCTGCAGGCAGGCAGTCAATGACTCACACTGAGCCAGGGAGAAGCTGGAATACTCTAGACATCCCTTTGCACAATTTCAGGGTCTTCTTGGCTTGTTTGGCCTTCTTCAAAGCCTGGAGAGCTCAAGGTGGTCATTTTTTTACATGGTGCTAAGGAGCTACCAGCTAGTGTTCCAACAAACCAGCCATAAGTTCCTCTGCCTTTTGCAACCTAGTCTGGGAAGTCATACAGCACCTCTTCCCCTCTTGTTCTGGGGAACGTCAGAGGTTTCATTGACTTAAAAAACTGCCACCACCATCTATCTTCAAAAAGTCCACCTGGTGCGGGAGGTAAGACTATCAAGACAACATGGAAGGTGAGTGGCCCCACAAAGAAGGCACTGCAGATGCGGCCTTGAACTAGTTCGTAAGTTGGATTTCCACATTTTTAGTGGCACGATCAAGGTTCAGAAGAATTGCCAACAGTGAGTGAGTGCTTGACTGCAATCAGAAGTGGCTAACGGAAATAAACAAGGAAAAAGGCCAGCAATATGGGCTAGGTCACAAGGAATGCCTAACTTAAGAAGCTTGAAAAGGGGGAGACGGAAGAAAAAGTAATGAAGGGTTCCTCTGCAGATATTAAGATGGACTTTCCTTCTAGGCAATGGTGTAGCCACACAGGCATTCCTGAGTGTGGTCCTACAGGAACTTACATCAATTTTCAACTTGCAAAAATCACCTAACTGTGAGTAGTGAAACGTGGTGCCTGAGCCAATGATCTCAAAAGTGTGGATCCTGAGGGAAGATAATGTGTTGCTGCCTGAATGAGCAGCTTCCGAGAGACTGTCGTATAGATCAGTGTAATTCCAACTTCTGGAGATGGAGATGTTCCGAAATCCACAGTGCAATCTGGATGCTACCTACCCGATCACACATGGCCAGAGCACATGATATAACTTAGGGGTGTGTTTTCACTGTGTCCAGTGGCGAGCACAGCCTAGCCAAAGGATTTGACAACAAAGAGCCAATCACCAGGGCTGGCACAGAATCCCACACGTTCCAATGCACCCTGTGTAATGGGGCCAACCACATGCTAATGCCTTCCTGACTCAGGTTTACTGGGCAGAGCCAAATGAGAAAGTCTCCAGAGCCCCCAGACAGAGTCTAGCTGCAACATAGCCCACGACCTTAGAGAAAGGAATGTGATATGAGCCATCTGGAAGAAAAGTCTAGGCTGATAAGGGGTCATTACTCTGTTAGGTTGGCAACATGGGAGGCACTTGTAGCTATGGGACTCCCTTCCCAAATGAAAACGCTTAAGAATTCTACAAATAAGAACTTGGAGCTAGAAATGCTAAAAGGAAATGTGCATCCCTTTCAACCTCAGTCCAAAGAGCAGCAGATCTTGAGGTCAATAAAGAAGCTTTATGTTTATTGCTTGAAACAAAATTTATTCTCAGAATAATGCACAAAAGCACAGGCTGAGGCTACCGTTGGAGGCTTCCCTCTCTTCCTCCGCCGCCTCCCCCTCCTCAGAATGCCAGGGAGAGAACACAGTTGAAGGAAACATGCAATCACAAACAATGATCAACTCTAAAGACAAAGGTTTGGTCCAAAAGAACTCAACATAATTAATCCAATTACTGTGAAGAGCTTCACTGAGTAGGATTAAGATATTGCAGATGTAGTGTTCCACGGGGTGGCTCTTCAGTGCACCAGGGGGGCCTGCTTGAGGGAGATGAGGACAGAACGCATGCGAGAGACGTCTTTGGCCTGCTTGCTGGACTTGGGGTTAAAGTCACACAGCCGGGCCACCCGTTCCCACTCAGTGCCTGGGGATGACTCATCAATGTCGTTTACAAAGGCTTCTTCTGCTGCCCTGGAAGCAACAACAAAGCATGTTGGTTTGGAGAGCCTCCTCTCAAGCTATGTGGCCACTGCCTTGTTAACAAAAAGCAACTACCTCTCCATGCCTGACTTAACAGCCTCTGCTTTTCCAAAGAGTAACAGCCCCTGGTTTAGGGCAGACACGTGGCTACTCCCTGAGGCACCAGGTGCCTGGAGTGCTGTGTAAAATGTTGGAATACAGGTGTTTGGTTCAGGGCTCACTCACTCACTCTCTCTGTCGAGACAGAACATTAAATAAAGCAAGTCGTTGGCCAGCTTACTCACTGCCTTCATAACAAGAGCAAGACAGGAGGCTGGTCAAGAACTTAAGGAGTAGTTCATGTTGGGCAGTCCTGAGTTTCAAGTAAATTTAGAGACTTCTACAATGCCCACAGGTCTCTGCACGATAGCCTCTGGATGTATTCCTAAGGCTGGAGAGAAAGAAGGCAGATCAAAAGGAATTCAAGACAAAGCTTCCATGCTAGCAGGCACTAGAGTCAAGCCATTCTGGAAGGGGGGGTTGTTAGAGGACATTCTCCAGTTCAGCCAAAAGTTGGTCATTTCCCCTCAAGCCAGGTGCCTTGTGGGCTGCTCAGGGCACATGGGCTGGGGCAGATGCCCGAGGCTAGAGAGCCGATCAATGTTAAGTGCTTTGGGTAGGATGTTCCATCAATATTTCTTTCACGTCAAGGTCAGCCCACCCCCAGTTGAGACCTAAGCTGGTGGGAGCTACAGCCGGAAGACATTGGTAGGAGGAGGGAAGACACACTGTATTCATCTACTCCAACAAGCATCACGGGCAAAGCAAAAGCAATGGAGATGACTGGTCTGTGGGGACAGGGTGGCACTCTCACAGGGATGGCCGTGGCAGACACCGCTGAAGCCCAGAGCCACTACAACACTGCAACTTCATGGCACACACAGTTAGGGGCAGTGAGAAAGGTTTACTTAACTGTTCTAGGCTGTAGCAAGGATGGTTTATGTTTGTGCTTAAGGTGAAGAGAAGAAAAACAGGAGAGAAACTTTAGGTCAGATATAGAAAATGAGAATGAGCTCAATGCAGATGGTCAGTAAGCTAGACATGCCCTTGCCACTCACTCTACGCTTGGGAACGTGCAGCTGGCTTTGCTGGGCCACCCCGCCGCCCAGCAAACCCAGACTCGACCTTTCCAGTCTCCACTTCTACTCCAGAGAGAATGTGCAAAAGTCAGATCCAATACCACCTGTAAGTCCAGCATTTCACAAGATTCGTTGCAAATGCATCTGGGGGCCCAGGAAACCCGTTCTGTACTTCAAAGGGAGGAATATCAGGACACAGTCCCTAGGAGGTGCTACAGACTCCAGCCTACTGCCCACCCTCCGGGCCCATCCACCCTCATCTCCCTATAACCAAAGCTACTTCTAATTTTCAAGGCAGAAACAGCAGTAGCTGATTCCAAGTCTTCAGCAGTAATGCTTCAATAGTAACATCCTTCAAATCAAAAGCTCCGCCACATGATATGCAGTTTTCTTTGAAGGAGGACAACATGGCCTTTATCAGACAGCTTTGGTTGTCTTGGCCTTAATGTCAGGGGGAAAAGGGAAGCCTCTTTTGTCAGGGGAAGCTAAGACAGGGCATCAGACACTGGCCACTAACCAATTTCCAACATGAAAATCACTGACAAATTACATGGGGACCTCTTCACTCTCCCCTGCTCTGAGGGAGAAGCTACCAACCCTGGTTCTTCGAAGGAATCAAGTGTAGAAAATGCTGCCCTCACTGGCTCCTTCCCCAAGACTTTGCCTTCCCACCTGGAACAAGGAAGCAGCAGTGGGAGCAGCAACAGGTCAGAGCTCCCCAACCCCTCAGCCCCAAGGCCTGCCCAGACGAGACCATGAATGACCCACATTTGGAAAGGGTGTCATGATTCTGCAAGACAGTCAATGACCATACCCCCAGCTTATCAACTCCTAGGCAGCCCCCATAGTGCCAATTTGAAATAATTTTAAAAGCAAAGAAATTTGTGACATAAAAGGAGAATTAATTCTAAATGAAAAGTAGAAAGAATCAAAAGAAAAGGAATTAGTTTTGCAACATACACATAACCAATCACGTCAGCGAAGGGTTGTTTGTAGAAAGCTTCATCTGCCACCCTAGACAGCAAGAGGTCCAAAAGGCAGGCAAGCAGGCAGGAAAAAAGAGAGAACATTGAGAAGCAGAAACATGGGAAATCCACAGTGGAGGCACGCGTGCGCGCTGGAAGCTCCATCCTAACCCCGCAGCTTCAGTGCCGGAGGCCCCAGCGGAGCAGGTTCCCACTGGCCATCACCACCAGATGCTCCACTGTGGGCGCTGCCAGCTTCACCACCCTCTGCCTTACCCAGCCGCAACCAGCACATCAGAAGCACCCACTTACAGGCTAAGCCCTTTTACAGGCTGATTTGCTCCTCAACCTAACAACTTAGGACTCTGAGCACTGCCCAACGCCTAGCGAAGAAGCAATTCGGCCAAGTGGCAATGGGCAGAACTCTACCCAAACTGCCTGGCTCTCCTCCTTCTACAGTAATGCTTCTTCCCAGTCGTATGTGCTCAGACCAGGCCACTTTTCTGCCAGTCCCCATCAGCAACCCTGACCGTGGAGGCAGCCGGACACCAGATGCCACACGTCCCAGAGCCAGCTTTAGCTGGGACTACTGCTTTCCCACACTGGCTGGATGGGATCAATTTTCAGTACCCTGGGAATACACGTTCATTCCAGACACCCCACCTTATGATAAAAATGCTAATGGGCTGCTGGAAAAACCCACAGATGAAGGTCCTGGCTTTAGCTCTGTCCCCATCTGGTACTGGCAGTCTGTGCCAGATGACTTTCACAAGGCACAGCTCAAAAACCAGAACTTCCTCCCTCAACTCTCACATCAGGCTTGCATCAAAACAGTAGGGATCTGGAACCTTCATGAACGGGGTCATGCTGGGAAGAGTTTACACTGCAGGAGACAGGCTTTTCTTTGTCCCTGGCTGAATCCTGGGCCTGACTTGCGTATCGTGTCTACCACGGGTGGGCAGGGATTCTTCCTCAAGGCATCCCTACCCTGTCCTTTGCCCAGTTAGTCTGGGGCATGGAAGTAGAAAGGCATTTTTAAGGACAATCATGCCTGGTCATTAACCTAAGTGCTATATTTATTTGAAGGGAAATTCTAGTAATTTTCAGTTTATTTTTAAACTCACACATACTCTCCTTTCCCATTTTAGTTTTGTGGAAATTTAAAGAAAGCAAAAGGAACAGCCTGACTGCAACTCCACATGAGTCAGCAGGAAAAATAGTTATTTGTGGGCAGAATGAGTGGGAGGGAAAGGAAAGGCAGGCACCTTGCAAACCCATGGTCCTTGTAGTTTACACAAAGAACTAAACCCAACAGATTTCAACTGTGCTCACTTCTGTTGCAAGAAAAAAAAAGGTTCAAGACATCTCTAAGACAACAAAAAGCTTGAATGTCAGGAGCTCTAGCTCTTTGTGGCAAGACCAAAGAGTGTGTTGGGGACAACACAGCCCTGTCACAGTGACAGCCACAGAATCAAGTGAAAACCATACACGCCAAACACAGGCAGCCCGACCTGTTTGTTCTTCACCCACTAGACAGGGGGGCCTGAGGACAGCACCTGTCAGGTTAAGACAAGGGGCTTGGGAGGGGAGAAAAGGACCACCTTTCAGCCCCAACCCAGGGCACTCAAGAGGCCCACACATATTTCTAGCCCAAATGGGCATGGGAAAAATTATCTACCATCACTGAGAACCATAGATTCCACTGATTTTTACAAGACTAGACAGAGGTCTGCACAAAGCTACCTATAATTGGGGGTGTTTCTGATGTGTTTTGGGAAGGAATATGGGCTGGGGCAGTTTTTGATCTGTACACTTACCCAACTGTAGGGGCCAATGACTCTTGAGACTGGCCCCAATGAAAAGAGAATTCTTTTCCACAGGCCATCACTTAGCAATTCATGGCTTGTGCACACAACATTTAGGCTCTGACTTGGAATAAAGAAGGGAGATGCAGCCTGAGGACATTAAACTACAGAAGCTTCAAGAGCAAGGCTGGCTGTCAACTGCACCAGCCCCACCTCCACCCAACAGTGCTTGGTACAGATATGCTCCCAAGGCTCTGGTTGAGGGCATCTGGAAGTTAAGAAGCTTACTGACATTCTCAGGAATAGACCCTAGCTTCCCTGAGTCTCTTTCAAACTTCTCTCTTTCTAGCTTGTCTTTGTGGTCCCTTTAACTCCAGGGACCGACGCTTGCTGGAAATGAGCACAGTAACTTTCTAACAATATTCACTTACACCTATAGACAAGAAGAAAGAAGAATCACTTTACATACAGCAGTAGGCCTTTAAAATTTAACATCAAATATGGGAGGGGAAGCAGCCTGCATTACCAAAACTCCAGGGGAAGGCATGTGCCACTGAACAAGTTCCCCAAGTGCTTCTGTAATGCTCCCACTGAAGAATCCTTGGAATGAAGAGGGGAAACGCCTCCTGTCCAGGACCCAACGACAACGGCTAGTGCGCCTCTCACTTCACATGCTCAGGCTCCAGCCCATGGCTGCGAGTTTTCCATAAAGCAAGGAAGCCCATTTCTAAATAGCTCTCCATTCTTAGCAAATGGCGAGGCTGTACCTTTCCTTCTTTGAATTTCTAAGGTTCATCAATGAAACCATCCAACCCAACCTTCTACAATTCTGAGTAAAGAAACATACCAATGTCCCAAATCAGTGCCTGGAGGGACTAACGCCTTAAGACTGAGCTCCTAAAAACAGCTAAGATCCTGATCCTAAGGACACCTGATCCTGTAGATAGGAAAAAAGAAAAAAAAAAAAAAACCTTTCTTTAGAGAAGGGATATAGTTTAACAAAACTGGTTTGAAAACATGTCTTCAAGGGGTTCCCAACATAATCATTTTTTAATCCTGAGATCTGACTTAGGGCCTCTGAACCAAAAGGGTCAGCCTAGTCATACCAAGCACTTCAGAGTGGCACCACGGAGGCAGCCTGTGGATAACGGACTCACAGGGTGTTGGCACAAAGCACCCATCACCTTTCCTTACAGATGTGAACTGCAGCTGGGGAAGCACCCTGAACAAGCACAGGATGAAGGAGCCACAACCTGCCAGCACTTCATATTCACCAACTTAGCAGAAGCACCGGCAGCTGATCCACCCTCAGCAGCTCAATACTCAAGAAAAAAGACCCTTGCCATCGGTCAGAGATGCCACAGTCATGCCTAAGAGCACATCCCTCAGGAAGGAGGCTTCATCATGACATCAGGAGGCAGCTGACAGAACCCCAGGAATGGCCAAAGGGAGACTCGTAGCTAAAGGCTGCTATGCAGAAGAGCCCATCTGCTCTGCCAGTCACCAGTTCCCTCCTCTCTGGAGGAATTCCATCTGCTGGAGCTGCTGGAGATAAAGGCACCTTGGCCCCTGCTGCCTGAGGACAAGAACCTAAAGTTCTCCACCCAGGATCCAGTCTGGCCTATCTGCACAGTGAAATGAACGTGGTGGCTGTCATGTCAAAGCTGGGGTCTGGACACAACTGCGGAGCAAGCCCGCAGAGGCGAGCAGCATTGCCTCTGCCTCTCTGAGCTAGACAAGGGGCGCTCCAGGCCAAGGCTGCTGGCGGTAGTGAGGAGAACCAATGTGTTTTCTCCCCACAACTACTTAACCTTCTGCGAGTAGGTAAATTCTGAAAAGGCCATTTTTAAAAAGTTAACTCAAGATTCTCTTAAGCACAGATAAGTACCCAGAGAGCCATTAATTCTGATGTCATTTTGCTGGAACACCCTGGCAACCTAATTATAAAGCACATTTCCCTGCTAATGGACCATTTTCATTCACGCAGCTTTCAGAGAACAGGGCTATCCTCAGGAGATGCAATCTAACCAAGGCTGTAATCATCTCCAGAAAAACGGAGATCCTGGCACATTCATGAGAGTGACCTTTCATCTCAGGGTTACATTTTTAAAGATGGACCTGGTACAAGAAGTGACTTGCCCTTTGCTGGGTCACATCACTGCAGGTGATGCGTGTCAGGTAAATTCTCAATTGAAGAGCCAAGCTCCCTCCAGCTAGAATGGCTACGTCACAGTCTGAATTATACTCACAAGACCCAAGAGACTTGCGATCCTTCTGTTTCAAGCACGTAAAAATCTGCAAAGACATTTCACCCTAAAAGATGCAGCAGCTGAGAGCCCCATAACTGGCTGCCAGAAATGGATGTGATTCAATCCTCGAAACCCAGCTGCATCAACACCAGTGCGGACTAACCTGTTGTTTGCTTTTGTTTTCTGTAGCTGCTCGTCCTGCCTCGCATACCACTCTTCTAGCTCCTTTATTGCTTTTTCTTTCCACTCCGCTTCTTGCTTCCGAGAGTTGGCATCTTTGAAAGAAGGAAAAAGACAATATAAATGTGGCAAAACAGAAAGTGAAGCTCGTTTCATCCATTTGCATTTAGTAAGACACACTGTGTGTGCAGGCAACTTGCGTGTGTGTTCTAGAGGAAGAGTGGGGAGACTCCCTTTCTGCACCCAGCTCTAGGAGCTCTCACCATGTCACCTCACCCTGCCTCACCACGTCACCCCAGTCCACTGACATCTTAGTGGACCGCTGGTTTCGAGGGCTTTTTGGGCTGGGGAAGCTGAGAGATAGTGTGTATGGGGAGTGGTAGAAATACTAACTTTTAGTAGGAAAAAAGCCTTTTGGGGCACCAACTGGGGAAAAAACAGTAATAGGAGATTCTTTAGTAATGACATTATTTCAAGGTGGATACTAGACAACTTTCTATTACAACTCTTCTCACAATCTATTCTAGAGGTTTGACAGTTTTGTTTTTTGGTTTTTTTTTTTATATATTTATATAAGGAGACACTCCTGAATATGGCAGAAGCACTTTTATGAGCCAGAGAGCCATTAGGAAAATTACTGGAGATGATTCAGGACCCAGGGAATGATAGAATATAGATGTCAGTATTGCAAAGGCAAGAGTATCTATTCCTACTTAAACTGCAGAATGAGTTTGTTCAAAGTCAGCACAGAACAAGTGAAAACTCCTATGATGATTGGTGGGTAAGGAAGGTGAATCATTTCTTTTAAAGATTTATTTATTTATGCATATAAAAACTGGGGTCCAGGCCAGAGGTATGGGTATGAGAGGCTTCACCAGAGACAGAGTGGGGGGGCAGAACAGGCAGAGCTAAGCTACTAAAATACACTGCTGAGGGGAGCAGCAAGTGAGACAGGAGAGGTCTGCTGCACCATGTGGGTCACCTCCCTGGGCAAGGATCGAACTGGTACTCCAGTGGCTGCAGATAGCTTGCCAGACTAGTTCTCAAGCACGAAGAGTCTTAGGACTAAATAGGGTTCTCCTGAGATACTCGGCCAAAGAGACACTGGTCAGTAGAGAGTGGGAGAAAAATACAGGCCATAGCGATTGCTGTAGCTGACATTTGATGTCACCCTTTAAACTTGGTCTTAAGGACATACTTTCTATCAAGTGTTTATCGACATCTTATTTTTAATGCTTACAACAATCCTAAGCTGTAACTCCAGTTCCATGCTCAGCAGTGAGAAAAACTAGGTCAGAGTTTGAGTTGTAAAGATTGTAGTACGTTCCTTCCTAAATGTTTTAGTTAGTGGCAGAGCCAACATCCAGCCTGGGGCTGAGCCTAGTGCACTCTTACTTCATTATGCTGCCTCAAGCGGGACAGAAAGGGAGGCAAGCGTAAAATGATACCAAGATGTGAGTAGAAGGTGGTCACCAGAGATCCAGACAGGAGTCAGTACAGTGCAGAGCCAGAGCCAAAGCTGCAGTCTGTGTTCATGAGGGCAGAGTCTACATGGAGGGACGAAATGAAATATTTTGGGGCATTTTTAGGGTCCTTGCCAGAAATGTATTACAGTGATCACCTGTAGAAGACACTAGAACCTGCTAGTTAATTAAGAGCAGCTAGAAACTACCCCCAAGGTTTCAAATTCAGAAGAACTTCTTATCTATTATTTAACAGAAGGTGATTACCAGGAGAATTACTTTACTTGGATTTTCCACTGATGACTTGAGTATACAGAGTAAGCTTCTGATGTACATCTATCTGTGGCAAAAAGTATGTGGAGTGGAGAGGTCTGAAGGCAAAGAGAGATGCTGTGGGCTGAAGGGGCACACACACAAGAAACTGAAACACCAAATTTAAAATGTATATTGTGTCTCAATTTCAAAGTGGTGAAATTACATCCAAAAAAATCATTTTTTAGGAGACTTCTTTCAACATGGTCCAATGATCATTCTTAATACAAAAGAATATCATGCATCAAATATGGAAGTGTATCCCTGGAAAATTAAGCTAAGTAAAAACTGTGGGCCCTCCCTGGTGGCGTAGCGGATTAAAGCACTGCACTGAGAAGCTAAAGCCGCTTCCGCATGAGTTCGATTCCCGCCTGCCCCAGAGGTGACCACCTGGCGTGGCAGACCTCTCCTGACCCACCCGCTGCTCCCCTCAGCAGTGTACTTCATAGATCTGCCTGTTCTGCTCCCCACTCTGTCTCTGGTGAAGCCTCTCACCGCCCCTGAGCCTCTGGCCTATACCCCAGTTCTGTATATACAAATAAAATAAATCTTTAAAAAAAAAAAAACAAACTGACCAGCTGCTGTCATAAAACAACCCATTTAAATTATATTTTTGCTTTTACCAATTTATACAATTATATTAGCAGTAAGAAGTCAGCTTTCTTGTTTGTTTTTTTGCAATAAGAACTAGGTTATAGGCCAGAGATGCAGATGGTGAGAGGATTCACCAAAGATAGAGTGGGGAGAACAATAGGCAGATCTACTGAAATACACTGAGGGGAAAATGGATGAGACAAGAGAGGTCTGCTACGCCATGTGGGTCACCTCCCAGGCCAGGGATTGAACTCAGTCTGTGGAGATGACAGGGCTGTGGCTTAACCCTTAGGCCACCAGGGAGGCCCAGAATTTAGAATTCTTAAATGGTTAGCTTGAAGGAACAAAGAATGTAAGCCTAATACAATCTCTTTGAATCTGGGAGCGGGAAGGGAAAAAGAGAAAGAGTACCTTGGACAGCAGGGGTGCTGGAAGCTATCTCCTCCTAAGGCCTCCCTCAATGTTCACAGAAAAGTGAAGTACATGGGAACGTGGCAAATACTTAAGCTGAAGCCACTGACACTAGTTCTCTACTCTTAGCACCTTGTGCTTTCTCACAGTTCTCACAAGGGAAAAAGGTGAAACTGAAGAAACACCTAGTTCATGGACCAAATTAATTTAATTGTAATACAAGGCCCGTCTTCCCCCAGGGAGGCATTTTGACTTAAAACTATTTCCGGGCCCTCACTGGTGGCGCAGCAGGTTAAAGCACTGCAGTAAGAAGCTGAAACCACTTCCGCATGAGTTCGATTCCCGCCTACCCCGGAGGTGACCACATGGCATGGCAGACCTCTCCTGACCCGCCCACTGCTCCCCTCAGCAGTGTACTTCGTCGATCTGCCTGTTCTGCTCCCCGCTCTGTCTCTGGTGAAGTCTTTTGCTACCCCTGAGTCTCTGGCCTGTACCCCAGTTCTGTATGCACAAATAAATAAATCTTTAACAACAACGAAAAAAAACTATTTCCAAAGTGTCAAATTTGAGAACTGAAAATAAAAATGCAACTTTTGCAGGCACCAAAAAGCAAGCTAAAACTTACCTGACAGGAATATTAAGACAAATAAATTGTACACATTTTTTAACAAACCTCATTTTCGTTAAGTTTTACCTTCTTCAGCCTTCAATGACAATGGACTGTGAAGTCTCTCACAAGAATGTAATACCTCCAGATTTACAAGGCACTGTCATAAATACAGCAAACTACCTGGGATCAGGAACACTGATCTTACTCCACAGATGAAGAAATAAGATTCTGCAAATGTCTGAGTAACCAACTGCCCACAGCTGCTAAGATCTAAGGATGGGCCTGAATATGGCCTTTCACATCAAGTTTGGTGCTCTTTCCACAGTGCCAGCTTGCTTTTCCTAGGCGAGAACACTCTGAGATACTCTCCTGGCCCCCCAATCCTCACACTACAGCCTGTGAGTAAGCATCACCAGAAGGGTGACCTTGAGACCTTTAGGTTGAGAAAGAATGTTTTTCCAAACACTAGATAAGGACATTATAACTAATTCAAGTTAAAAAGGGATAAAAGCAGGGTCTCCCTAGTACACGAGGGGTTAAGTCTCAACACTATGACGCTATCCATAGCCACTGTAGCACAAGTTCAATCCTGGCCAGAGAGCTGACCCACATGGTGCAGGAGACTCTCCTGTCTGGCCGGCTGCTCCCCTCAGCATTGTATTTCAGCAGATCTGCCTGCTCTGCTCCCTACTTTGTCTCTGATGAATCCTCTCATCCTCCGCACTCCTAACCTATACCCCGGTTCTTTATTTTAAAAATAAAATCTTACCCAAAAAGGGGGGGGGGGAGCAGAGTCAACTATTCCACTGAAGACAAAGACAGAAAGGGTTTCCTTACCAAGGGCTTCCAAGCGTTCCGTTTGCTCTTCTCTCCACTTGCGGATACTCTCAGGCTCTGACTGCAATCGATCCACTTGTGAAATAGCTGCGTAACTGTCTGTGGGACCATTAGTCTCCTTAACACAAAACACAATTACACTCTATCAGTACCAAAACCTCTTTCTTGAAACGTACTTTTATCAAACTAGATGCCCCTGGTCATGTACAGCATGACCATGATGGCTAGTGTCAAATGTTAAAGGATTACTTAAAAGCAACAGCCTGAGATATGCATATAGGGAGTTTTCAACACTACTGTACTTAATCCCTACAACCCTCAAGGGAGTAGAGCAGCTGTTATACTACCTGTGAATAAATGTGAACAAGAGTGGGAGGCAGAATAGTCAGGGATGGCTAATCCACTTACTAGAAAACAATTAGCAGTTTTACTTGACAAAGTGACTGTTATCTTCAAAGTAACAAAGTACATGTAACAGCAAGTACGAAAAGCTAAAACTTCTAAAAGCCATTATACAATATGGAAAAGGTTACTTCACACCACTGCATCAAAAATAGTGAATTCTAGGAATGGAGAAAGTTCAAGTATGAGTCACAGTGTGTTGGGGGGCGTTGGGACCTTTTTTTAAATGAAGGGGTAAGATTTGGAAGCCAATTAATACTCAAGTAGAATTTAATCTCTAGAGGAGTATTTCACCTGTTGAACTAGGGAATGTTAACAGGTTAACCTAATCAAACTATTAAAAAAAATCAAAAGGACTGATTAAAGTAATATCAACCAAACTTACTGGCACTTTCAATGAGTGAAGCACATAAAGCCTTTATCTCCTAAATACTCTGAAAGACAAGTTTCTATACCCCTTCACAGCTGGTGAATTGAACTGAGGCACAGATATGACACCTCCCGACTCCCTGCTAGTAAGGGCCAGCCCAATGCCTGTTTCTGCAATTTCACGTTATAGCAACAGAAATTTGACAAAAACCTTATGACTCACAGAATTTATGTTTACTATCTACAGAAAAAGTCTGTCTACTTTTGGCTTAAACCGATTAATGAATGTCATCCTTTTTGCCAGTTGATTGTTTCAGGGTGGGCTGAAAGCCAGCATAAGCAAAAGAGCATATTATTCACACACAGTGATGATTACATTCACTGGTCTAGAGGGAAAGGCAGGCCTTGTGCTGGGTGACTGGGAGAAGTGAAAACTGCATCTTATTTGAGATAACACAACATGGAGGTCTCAAAGATCTACAGTCCTTTTGCCACCAGGAAGGCAGGCTGAGCAGGAAACTGCCACATCCGTCAGGCAGAGCCAGAAGGGAAGGGTCCTAATGGAACTGAGTCTGAGTCTAGCCCAGGATCAGTTCTCAGAATTTTTTCAGTTATATAAACTATGAAGTTCTATTTATACCAATGCAATCTGGTATGCTTTCTGCAATCAGAAAGCTTCCTGACAAAGGGGGAAATAAAACAAACACCAGTTACTTCCTCCTCCCAATACAACCTGGAAGACTCAAATGACTGCCCCCACCACATACCACCTTTGTTAGACAAATTTATTTTACCTGTGTGCCTAAACTTATTCATCTATAAAATGGGAATAACGATAATGCAGGCCTCTCAGGCTGTGAAAAATAAGATTAAATACAAACAGTGCTTGACACAGTGTATGGCACAAACTAACCACCACAATCATGAAATGTCAATTAGTCAGAATAAAATTGACAACACTAAAGTTAATACTAGTGTTAGGTCAATGAGATTGTTACAGAATGTTCTGTTAATGCCACTTCTCTTCAAATCCTTCCACTTTGGCAGTTACTAGTACATCCAGGAAAGTCAAAGGAGTAAGGTTCTTTCTAAGTCAGTCAATACACAGGAAAGGAAGACTCTTGACCACTATGACTCAACATAATCAGAATACACTGTACCTGGTAGTATTCGCCATTCATCACTCCATCAACAGCATCTGCAAGACATAAAATTTCAGTATGTCAATCAGAGCTAGTCAAATGCTGGACCTATGAATTACAGAAAGTAGTAATAGTATTGTGTGTTGCAGGTACTACAAGCCACTAAATGCTATCCCTGTGCTAGGGACTAAATATGACACTGAACTATCTTCTATTTAATGAAATCAGGATGTGCTTGACCCACAATGACTTCACCTAAACATGGACAAATCCCCCAAGCTCTCAAGCCCAGGCCTTTTGAGATTCTGGCAGAAGTCTCATAACAAGAGTTTATGAAAATTCTAGAGAAGGCAAAGGAAAACACGACCTAGAATGACTCAGTCAGCACAGCTTCATGTTCAAACCAAAATGCTTTCTTGGGGTGAGGGCACTCTCTATCCTTCAGATGGATTAGGTTTGGCACCCAAGGGTCTATAGTTGAGACTTCTTGCTAATTTCACAAACCCATGTGAAATTACTCCAAAATACTAAGTGAGCAGTCGAAATTAAATTAAACCAATGTTCATAAGAACACAAATTACAAAAACTCATGAAAAGTGTGATGTTTAATCTCATTAAGCATTCAAAAAGCTCAATCAGAAAAGTCCATCTCAAAAATAAGAAAAATGTCTTTCAAGTTAAGACCTAGAGAGAAATTACCCACCCAGTACAAAATGGTGGTCCACAGGCTGGACATATTTTATTTGAAATACAAAGCGTATGTTAGGAAATTTCACAAAAGCAGGATTTCCAGGTTAGGGGCGAGGGGCAAGCAGCGATGCAATCTGGGAACACTGGGCCTGCATTCCTCAATTGCCAGTTAGGTCAGAAATAAGGGCAGCCTTGACAGGGAGCATGTGCTAGTAGGCAATTTGCCAGTCTTCACTAGCACATCTCACTGATTCAGTTGCTTGACTGGTTCCAACAGCACACACTGCTACCCTGCCCCAACCTTAGAGCCCTTGTCGAGAGGCAGTCTGCACACACCACCCTCTGGACTAGCTGTATGCCTTCCCTGGAAAGCCTCAGTATAGGCAAATGAAAACTTAGCTTCCACCTACCCATGCTATAGCTTTATAATGTTAGTTGACCCACGTCTTCCTATTATGTAGGACTTTTAATATCTTTCCATTTTTTTTCAAACTTCAGTCACCATCACATTGCAAAGGGTGAGAGAGGGAAAATGGGAGACAATGAACTTACAAAAACCTAAGTGGTAAGAGGAAGGTCAGCGCAGTGCAGCCACCATTACCAGGCCCTCTGAGGGCAGCACATGGAACGACACAGCATCCTTAGAGACCTGGGCCAGGAAGTCTCCTGCTATCCGATGTCACCAGACCACCCTCTGGGCTTCTTGGTTCCCTCACTAATTAAAACTAACAAACGGTCTATTTTCTATAGCAACCCTACCATTTAGCCATTCTTTCAGTTCTTCTGCTTCTCCCAATAACTCCCTCTACATTTTGAAAGTACAGTAAACATTCACAGGTCATTTCCCCAGGTTGCCTCACTGACACCAACACATTGTTTTCAAAATGGGGAAATGGTCACTCAGCCCACTGGTTTCTATCCTTTTAGTTTACCAAATACTTCTCTCAGTAAAACCAGACTTCTACAACATATGCTTCCAGTAATCCATTCATCTGTATCATTAAATCCTCAATGAGGAAATCTCAATTCGCTGCCAGGTAGTGCTAAACACATTATATACAGTTAAGTTTTAACCTTCACAAAGCTGTATGCACCAGCCCTTCACAAGTGACCTTAGAACACAAAAAGGGTTGCTTAAGAGATGAATGTGCTCTTCAAGGGGTAGATAAATAATATTTTGTCTCTCAAATGTATATTTTATGTTTAAGATATGTAAGACTAATGTATGTATTTATGAGATAACTAGATTTTATTTTATCTGGTTTGATAATCTGCATTCAAAAAGTTATGCTATATCCCAGCAAGGGATCCAGCAGAAGTCAGGGGGAAGATTACCTGTTAATATGATACATACGCACCCAAGATCTAAGCACTAATCAACCCTTTGTGGCTTTGAACTGTGTTTCAAGTGCTGATAGTATTTCTCATAACCCAATTTTCCTGTGTTACTCCTATAACTTATAATAGTACAAAAGTGAGTTTCTTACAGTTTTTGTTAGTGGTTTTTTATTACTTGAAGCTACTTCTGTGCCATCTACCAAAAAAATTTTAAGCATCCTATCAAGTACTGAAAATAAGAAGCTTATCCCAAAACTAATAAACTTATTTGGGGGCATATTCAATTGTTCCTCTGTAATAAATTTATTGTAGAAACCCTGAGCCACTGGAAATATATTTTAAAGACTTCTAAACATCATCATCAGGGCCTCTGCTCCCTATTTACCATTTATATTACAACTAGCACAGCACATGAGCACCCTACTTCTCTAACCTTCAATGATACTACAGACTGAGTTTATTGTGTTTTTACATTTTTGCTGACTTGATGGGTGTGTGACTTAAGGTATCTCTGTTGTGTCAATCTTACGTGTTTTTAAGATTGATGGATTATTTATGTTTACAGAACTGGGGTATAGGCCAGAGGTGCAGGGGCAGTTAAGAGACTTTACCAAAGAGAGTGGGGAATAGAACAGACAGATCCCCTGCTGAGGAGAGCAGCGGGTGGGCCAGGAGAGGTCTGCCACGCCATGTGGTCACCTCCAGGGCCAGGGATCGAACTCATACTGAAGCGGCTGCACCTAGCTTGCAGTGCTGCATCCTAACCTATTGCGCCACCAGGGAGGGCCTGTGCCAATCTTACTTCCTGTGAAAAATCACACATCTAATATGTGGTTTACTTTTCTACTGAACTGAGTTGTGTCCATTTTTTAGCCTTTTATCTCTTAGTAATGTCTACATTAACTGTTCTTCCTCTGATGTTACAAACATGTTCCCCACTGTCTTTTTATAATATTTACACCTAGAATACTTAACCTGTAGAAAGACACCATCTACTTTTCCTTTATGATTTCTGTGTCTAGTTTTACACTAAGGCCTTTCCTATTCTGAGATAATCACTTTCTTCTGGTGCTTAAAAAAATGCCTCTAATCCATCTGGGATTCATTTCTGTTAAGACAGAAAAGAGCAAAATTGTTTTAAATCTTAGAGCCTATAATGGTTAGTCTAGCCAGACTTACATTCTGGTTAATAATTATAGTTAATATACCAACTATCCAGTTAATATATTCCAGCCCAGGGCCATTCCCAATAGGAGACTTTGATCACTGCTCCATACACAAAACTAGAAGCAATTCTCACCCCCTATCACATGGTACCTGCCCTTTAGGCCTGCAGACTCATCCAGGCCCACCAGCAAAGACTTGAGCTCTTATTAGTCACTGTAATAATATATAGACATTCAAGAGGCCCAAGTCAAAGGATGGTCTGTTGCTACAGAAACATGCAGGAAGGTCATCTAGGCCTTTGATTCATTAAGAACAACAACTAAGCTAAGCAACCTAATACCCTGGTAGGAAATTTTCTAGGGCAACTAAGGAAGTCCAGACAGAAACAAGAGCCAAATAAGTTTGTAGATATGAAAGACTGATCCAAATCCACCTTCAACTTCCCATGTTCCCCAGTCAACTAAAGTCAAGCAGACCTGGTCTGAATCCCAGATGAGCCATTCATTAGCTTGCTTCCTTGACACTGTGTTTGACTTTCAAGATAATCAGTTCTCACCTCAAGTAGTTATACTACCACTTAGCTTAAAATTACTGTGCAGATTATAAATTACAGGGAGTATCCAGTATAAGTCAATATGCAATAGTACTAAATAATATGCATGAGATTTCCCTGAACTTCTCTCCTCCACTGTACCAAGAAAATTACTCTCTTCCAGAAAACTTTCCTATAATTTCTTTCCTTTCACATTCTTCTTCCTTTTTCCTCCTCCAAGAAAGTACTTGTCAGAAATCTAACAGTGCCTCATTGCCATACTCTCTCAGTAGTGCCGTAATAGTCTCACTCTCCTCAGCCTGCGTAAGTGAGGGCTTCTCAACAGCTCTAGATTTAAACACTGCCTCTTGCCTTGTTCTTCCTCAGATATAGGTTCTTCCCCTACTCCTCAAGCTCTGTCAGCACCTCCTGCCTATATATGACAGTATGACCACCATTATCAGAGACAGAGTTACCTCCTACACACTTTTTTTTCCCTAGCATCCCACCCCCTACAAGTCTACAAGCTGCATTATAACTTTCTCTCCCTTCTCCCTGGTTTGTGCACCTGTGCTCTCTGATGCAATCCTACTAACCCTCAGGTGGTGCTTATTTGCACCTTTTAAACAAAAAATGTTTATGCATTCATACAAGAACTAGGGTGCAGGCCAAAAGCACAGGAGTTGAGAAGATTCATCAGAGACAGAGTGGGGAGCAGAACAAATGAAACATACTCCTGAGGGGAGCAGCCAGAGACAGGAGAGGTCTGCTGTGCCATGTGGGCCACCTCCCTAGCAGGGGATGGAACCCACTCCGAAGTGGCTTCACGGTGCTGTGCTTTAACCCCTTGTGCCACCAGGGAGGCCTGTATTTGCAATTTTATGGTGAAAAATGAGGCAGGACAGTGGTAGCAGTGGTGGTTATTCAAGCTGCCTGATACCACAAAGCTAAACTTGCACCCCAGCATCTAAGACAGCACAAAATCTTAACCAGTAGACTGTCTCCTAGAAAGAAAAAAAAAAAGAGAACATGTCCCACCACCGTTTCCTGCCATGATCATAAGTGGAATGTTCCTTTTTCATGCAATTTACAGGTCATTTTTGGGGCCTGGGAATACAATAACCATTAATTTATAGGGAAAAAACTTTGAACACTCTTAGACCCAAAATACAGCCAACCAAATGGTGACAAACAGGACATTCTACTTACAGATAGAGGAGGAAACGTACAGTTCTGTAATCCCTGAAGGAAGTGCTAACCACTGCACTATTGTTTTTTTCCTGACCACTGCACTATTACCAACCTTGCTGTCAGAGATTTGGTTCTAAGTCACTAAAAAAGCCCTTCCTAGGAACTAAGTCAGCAATCACCCTTTCCTTCCCTTTGCTGAAAGCTTAATGCTCAAGGGACGTGTGCATCCAATTCCAGTCTTACCCTTTTACCTCCCCACATTGCACATAAGATCTGCTAGCTCTACACAAAACCTTTGGGCCTAGCATTTTAAGCCCCCCTTTCTGAGTACCTAATACGTATGTGATGCCCTTCTAGGCACCTGAGATACAGGAGTGCGCAACAGTTAACACTGCCCTTGGCCAGGCCCTAACTATGGATCCTTATTCTCCCAACCCAGGCCAATCACAACTGTTTTTCAGAAATGACACAGCTCTTATCCCAGTCTACCTCTGCTAAAATACCTGCAATGAAACATGGTACAGTGGAAGAGTGGAAAGACTCAGGGCTCAGTTATCTTTAAGCAGTGAACTAATCCTTAAGCAAGTCATTTCTCTATTAAACAGGACAAGAAGTATCTAAGGTCCTAAAAAGTAAATTTTATGATTTTTCAGCAAACATTAGAGACTTCCCAACAACAAAAAAAAAAACCCTAATTATGTGAAGGCAACTTCATCGCTCAGTCACAGTACAGCTCAGTCCAATTTGTGTGCAATAAATCACACTTCAGGTGTTTTACATGTTCTCATGTTAAGTTCTTATTGGGGGACTGTTTTGCTTAGGACTATGGTGTCAGGCGCTGCACACCAGCATTCACTCCCAAAAAAAGATTCTGCTTGCTAAGATAGTAATTTGAGATTTTTTAGTAGGAAGTTTTATGCACCAAAACTTCAATATCCAACACTCCTAGTTGCTCAGCATGTTTCTCTCATGTTACCCACCTGGCACCTAAAGGTTTGCACTTGGGGTGGTACAAACCACAACTGCCTGCCCCATCGATGCCCTATTCTCCTTTACTTGCATTTTTTCTTTTCCGTAAAAGTCCCACCTCATTTCTTCTAGCTAATTTCCTACTTCCTTATACTACTAAAAACATTCCATTCATCCTTTCTTCCCACCACCACAATCCTAAGCATCACAGATAAAGGCATTCAGAGGTCAACCTGGCTAATCTTAAATTCTGTTTAGGTAACACTGCCTACCAAAGCTATCCCTAGAGGAAGAAGGGCACAGGAATCCTAGCTGTAACAGGCCCACCAAATGATCAAAACCTTGTCTCTCGTTAGCCTACATTTCTTTCTGCAAGCCTAGACCGTCTTTCCAGAGGCCCCTATTCACGCTTCCTTTCCTCCGCATTACCCAAAATTCTGTACACCTAAAGTGCTAAGATGCTGAACAGCGTTGTCATTTTTATTTGTATGCCTCAAAAACTATCCCACTGTTCTTGCTAGTTTTCTGCTCCCCTTTCCCAGTAACTGGTCTTTGGGCTTAAGCTTGACAGTAACTGGTCAAACTGCGCCAATGCGGCTGTGCATCAGAGGCCGGCTCAAGGTGTTCAATGAAAAGTTTCTGTGTCCGAAGGGCTCCTTCGGGCTCCGCAGCCTGTCACCTTAATCGGTTTGCTTTCTCGCTCCACCAGCACCGAAGAGCGCTCAAACACACAAGGCTGAGCAGGATTCCCGAGCCCAGACTTCTCCGCATGGCTGGGCCGGGGTCTCATTTCCTCTTTGCACGCCTCCTTAGCCTCCCGGTTCAGCAGAGACCAAGAGTTACACGTACTCAGACCCGCTCCGGGTTGAGTTTCCACACAAGTCCGCCCGCCCCAACCGCGACCGCGCTCTCACCGGGACCCCCCGGCGGCTCGCCGTGCGGCTGGGGGCCGGGGGCGCCGCCGTCCAGGATGGCGAAGGCCTCGTCGTTCTCGATGCCCGCAATCTCGCTCTCCTGCTGCGCCAGGAAGGCCGCGGCCGGGTCTTCTTCCCCGGCGCTGGCCACCCCGTTCCCCAGCGCGGGACCTCCGGGGGCACCAGCGGGGGCGCCGAACGGATCCAGCTCAGCCATAACGGGCAGTTCAACGGCACGGACACCGACGTTGAAGGCCAAACCAACCGACCTACCGACACGGAGCCAGGCAGCGGCCGCTTTGGTGGCGACTGCGATCCGAGGGCAAGCGGGAGGAGGGAGAAGACGGAAGCGGAAACCCTGCCTGTATTTCCGGTTAGTCTAGGCGGTGTTGGAGAGCTGAGAAGTAACAACCAATCGGAGGGCAGCAATGGCTTAAGAGCTACCCAATCAACAGCGGGCGGGGCGGACCCAGTGGGTCTCGGAGGAAAACTCGTGACTTAGGCAGCGCCAGCTGTGAGGGCGGGGAACCCCGCGGGCCTCGAGGAGCAGGAAGTGGTTCTTGACTTAAAGCAACTTTAGCCGCCGGGCCTTTACGGCCGGACGGACCTGACCGCCGCTTCTGATGATTGGTTGATTAGAGGAGAGGTTGGGGTTTAGGCGTTCTGAACCTCAGTTTACTCGTTTGTAAAATGGGGACAAGAATCCTGCACTTATGCCCCTGTGGGCTTCTTGGGACTGCTGAATCCTTTTACAGCTACACTGGCATAAAAAAAAGTTTGTATTTGATAGCTCATTTATCTAACTTTCTGCTTTAGGGCCACCTAACTTAGATGTAATTGATTCAAATCTACTCTATTACCACCTCTTAGTACTTTGATAAATAAGCAAATGTAGCTCCTTGTGCAAATCCTTTTTAAAGCCTGGACTCTTTTTCGGAGTGAGCCAAAAGGAACTGGAAAATTCCTCAGGACACACCCAAGATCTTAGGGAAACTTTTTGAGGCCCCTTTGTGGGAAGGATTGTTCCCACGGGAATCAGAGGGAACCCGGTCTCCTGGACATCTCCATGATGGCACTAGCCACAGCAAGGTATGTACACACTTTCCCCAGCGAGGGATAGCAGAAACTTTTTTTTTTAATCATTCTTTATTTTGTGCATTTTTTTTTTATCTCAGTTGTAGTAGCCCCCGTGGACTTCCCACCAGCAGTTCACCCATGTGCCATCACCATAGTGCCGTGCACTCTTCCCACCCCAGTTTTGATCCCATTCCCCTCGCCACCTTTGTAAAATGTGTCTGGTTTATAGTTGTTCATTGTTTTTCGTTTTTACGTTATTACAATTGCTTTTTCTTTTCCCCCCTGATCCTTTATGCTCCTGCTATGAATGAAACCTTCCACTATTTTTCTTTCTTACTGGTTTATTTAACTAAGAATTTTTAAAAGTTCTTTCAGTATTCTTTTAAACCAGGGGCAGGTTAATAACATGGCTGGTTAATTTTGTCCAAACCACAGAAATGAGGATAGAGTTATTCCAGGATCATGTTGAAAGGGGGCTTATGTAAAAAGTCAACAAAACCAGAAAGGAACCAGCCCATGTCAAAGAGGCCTTCAGAGGCGGTAAACAGGGGACATGAAGTGGTTTTTTAAAAAATTTATGTGTACTTTTAGTGACCAAAAAATAGGAAGAGCTAAGTTGCAGTTCAAGTTTGAAGCCAGTCGTTGGCACAATTTCTTTTTTTTTTTCTTTTTTTCAGGAAAATCAAACATTTTTTAAGACCTGCAACTGATTGAATGAGGCCCACTCACATTGTGAAGGATTATCTGCCTTACTCAAACTGTATTGAGTTAATTTCTATAAAACACTTAAAGGAAACATCTAGAATAATGTTTGAACAAATATCTAAGTACTATTAATACTGAAATGTCAGGTCTTCAAGCCTAGTCTCCTAGCCAGGGATGGATCCCAGGCTGAGTGGCAGCACTGAGTCCCAGGCAGTAGACCAACAGGGCTGTTGGTGTCTCACGAAGCCACAGTAGGAACTTTGCAGACACTCAGGCAAGCAAAAAAGAGGCATATTTGTTTAAAGAAAGAAAAAGTTTACTGTTCCCAGGCTGGTGGAACCAGGCCAAGGCCAGCAAAGGAGCCAAAGTGGAGTCCTGGCTCAGGGAATCCAGACCTTCTACCCTAGTTACTCTAAAGCTCTGTCAAGTCTCTGTGATTGGTTAGGTCTCAGTGGTCACATCCACTGTCTCAATGTCTCCAGAACTAAGTCTCTGAATCCTAGCCCTTATCATAGAGTCCTTTTTCTTTATTGTCCTTGTTCCGGACAGTCCTGTTGTACCCAGTCCTGGGGTGTTTGATTAGTCCCCTTTGGAATCTGTTGCCCTTATCTCTGGAGCCTCCCTTAACTAGTCTGAAGTCCCTAAAGCTGCCTAATAATTATCCCTAACTTGCCTCAGGATTCACTGTGCACCAGCCATGGTGACACATAAAATGAACCACAGCAAAGACCACTTCAGATCTTCTAAGTGTCTCATGAGCAGCTTGCAGTTCTGAGATTCTGAAAGCAGGAAAAAGCACAGAAATTGAGGATTATAATGCTGGCCTGGGTGGGGTTGAAGAGATCGGGAATGGATGGCATACTGGTGACAGAACTAAGGATAGCGGGAGGTTAGAACTTTGTAGGCGCTGTGTGGGCACTTTCCTCCTCAGTATTCTCCCAGAGCTACACCAAAGGGCACCCACTTACTTCTCAGGGCTCCTGGGTGAGACATTATGATACAGATTGCACCCTCTAAAGCCAAAATAATCTAATTCCAGAGAAGGGAGGTAAGAAATTTGTATGAATTGATGTGAAGAGGACAGCAGTGAGCAAGCAAAAAGAAAAAGAGAAAGAAAAAAATATATAAGGAAGACTAGGGAAGTTTCATACAGGAAATAAGTCTTTTTTTATATATGTGTGTTTCTCTCGCTAACTTTTAGACCATGTCTGCCTAGCTCACCTTTGTATTCTCAGGGTCTTTCATTATAGCAGGTACTCAAAAAACTTTGGCAGATGGAATGGACTGTCTCAGAGGAGAAACAGTGAGAAAGATAGAGGCTGGAGAGAGTGGTGTGCTGTGCTGGGGGTGCAGAGAGGGTAATTTGGCTAGTTGCTCAAGGCAAATTGATGGGTACAGAGAAAAAGGTGTGTTGGAGTCAAATTATAGAGGGTCTGAGTGCCTGCGTATGGGTTATTCCTTAATTGTAGAAGTTGTGAGGAGAATTTGAAAGACTTTAAGTGGACAATGACGTGGTCAGAACTCTTTTCTGAAAGAATCTCTGGCATCTCAAACAGGGTAAGCATAGGAGAGGATCTGAAAATAGGGAGAATAGTTAAGAAAGACTACTACAGTCGTTCAGGTGAGAGATGAAGAAGGGCCCAACTCTGATATTCTAAGGAACCTCTGTGGCTCAGTTGGAAGGAACATAGTGGAGGTAATGTACACAGTAGGTTGTAAGTGACAGCACTTAAGAAACAGTGAGATGAGACACACAGATAGTATTTATAGCTTGGAAAACCCTGAACAGAAATAGTTATCCAGGAAGAACAGGTTGAGTGGAATGGGGAAGGAGATAAGACAAATAGAGTTCAGTGTGACTTACTGAGCATGAGAAACCTGTAAGGATATTTAAGAGTCATTCAACAAGCTAGTGGAAATCCAAGTCTGAAGTTCAGAGACAGGCGTTTCTAATTCAAATATTAGCAAATGTATTACAGGGCAACCCATTGTGAACTGGGCTGCCTGTCTGTGCATCCTCATCCACGCGCTTAAAATTTAATTGTACTTCTGGCCCACACAAAAAGGGGAAAGGAAAAGGAACAATCCAGGGAAAGAGAAGATACAAGGTAACTAGAATGTCCTACCAACTCAGTTGACTTGGAACTCCAGTAACACACTGATAGCCACCAGCCACATGGTCCTGAGAGAGAGAGCATAGAAAATGGCCCCCTATATATATATATATCCTCCAAAGTCCCAGAATGCCTGCTTAGCTCCGCCCTTAGATCCTCGCAGTTCTCTCCTTGGTATTGATGGGAGTTGTAGTTTACAATCACTGGAGTAGGGGGTGGAATCCAGAAAACTGGAATAGGGGGTGGAGTCCACAAAACTCTGCAGAGTTCCTTTAGGACATCCTTTCCCCTTAATAGATATAGTTGTTTACAGCCAATTCTTCTGTCCAGAACAACTAGAAAAGCTGCACAAAGGGTTTTAAAAATCTGTTTGAAGGCATCAGAGGCCTACCAGAGAAGTGAGGAATCAAGAAAAGTATCCCCAGGGAAAAGGGAAAGATTCCTTTACTCCAGGAAGAGTAGAACTGAGCAGGAAGGAAGAAGCTGGAGAGGAAGGGAAAAGTTTGGAGAGCCAGAGGAGACCTGGAGGAGGCACATGGAGCCGAGAGACATGTGAAAAAGTGTCACTTGCTTCTTGGTCCTGGACTTGTTGAAACAGATGTGGGTGAGCAACCTTTAGGGAGGTTAGCAATGGCAACTTTTACCTTGATTTTTCTCCTTCTGTCCCAGATGTGGGGAGGTCCCTTCTGTCCTTTCCTATGGGTTCCCATTAGGAGGTACCTTAGACCTGTAGAATGCTTCCAGACCTCAGTGGCCCTGCTTTTGGCCAACCCTGTTTGGCTGGGCATTTAACCATGAGAGGATGGGTAATTTTAGGTGCTGAATTTAGGAAATATATTCTGTGTCTTTTCTTTGTTGCACACTAATTGTATTAAAGTCCCTTTCCATTAAAGATCTTACCCGCTAGTACATGTTTTAACTTGATGCAGCAGATGGCAGCATCTGTTTAGAATAGTTATGTTTGGGGCTAGGGTGCCCTTCACAGTGTCCTATAACAGGGCTTTCAATTAGCAAGAATGAGGAGGAAAAAAGAACTGGGGGTCTACCAAAAAGGAGAGGCCCTGATAAATGTACCAGGCTTTTTGTTATGAGGAATAAAGATGAAAATAGAGTTAACTGAATTAAAATGACCCAGGCTTTCAGTGCTGTTAACCTAAAACTGCCTGCCAAAAGCAAAACTAAATTCTCTCTCATAGGAAAACACTATACAAAAATAACTAAGTAAAGGCGAAACATGCTCAGAGACATTTCCAGAAACAGAAATAATATATTAACAAGTTCTTGGGGATTTAGATAATGGAGGTATCAGAATTAGATTTTAAAATAAATATAATTAATTACTTCAAGGATTTAAATGGAATTTTTTTTAATGTGAGAACTAAAATTTACAATATCTGATTTAAAGATTTCATTGGATAAATTTAGCAGCTGATTAGACATGGCAGAAAAGAGAATTAGTGAACTATAAGACAGCGCAGAAAATTGTCAAGGTTGATGGGCCCTCCCAGGTGGTGCAATGGG